GTGAACAGCAGTATTTGAAGTTTTGTGTCTGTGTGTCTGTCATCCAGGTTTGTCCTTGGAGCTGGTGATACGTTTATCTGTGGTGGTGGTTCTGCTGCCTGTTGTTCTGCTGCTCATCTACAGAATCAAGGCCGAGGGCTCTAACGGTGAGTTACCTTCAAACATTATTTAAAACCTTTATGATTCATTAATTGACAACAGAGTTCTTATACTTTTGTATTTTGATGTCTTGTTTTCAATTCAGATTATTTTCAGTTAATTTCCAGAGTGGATTTTCAGGTTTCAGTTGAAGTTTTATTAGTTTCAATTATTATCCTGAGGAGGGCATAGTAAAGCTAATCAAACTTATTACCTGTCTGTTCTACAGGTTTGAACTGCAAGAGACGCTCAGCATATGACGACACTGAGGTGACTTATCTCTGTTTGTTTTCTCTCTATGTCATGGTTTCAAAATCTGTACCAGGCTGGAAAGAAAAACAAACAAACTGAGATTTCATGTTTTTAAAAAAAGTTCAGGATTCTGAATTTAAATTGGTAAATGCTGACCTAAAATGTTAAAACATTATTTCATTTCAGTTTCAATCATATGATTCATTTTCATTTAAATCTGCACTAGTCTCTGTTTTATGTTAAAAGATGCAAGCGGCACTAAAATGAACCAAAATAAAGTTCAAAATCTACGTTTTCACTTCTCTGTGTACTATAAATAGAACACACAGCTTCTGTTTTCATCCTGAAACTAAAAACCTGCTGCGCATCACCATCTTCTGCTTTAATATGTCATTGCTGTCATTGTGTTTCTGTCTTTGCTCCTCAATTCAGTCAGTTTGTTATTTTTATTTTCCCAGATTGGTCTCAGTGAACTCGATCGTCCAGTCTCCTCATGTGAAGACTCGACCTACCAAAGTCTCAATACAGCGAGCAGAGATCACGACCAAACCTACTCTACACTCAGACACAATAACCAGTTTTCAGACATGAACTCCTGTGAAGCTGAATGACTGCATGAACAGTCATTTTTCCTTCTGAAGGAAAAATGACTTTTTAAACCAAGTTACAGGGTCAGTGATAAAGATTTGATCAACAAACTGCTGTAAAAGCAGGAATGAGATTATGGACCTCTTAGAATCTACAAGTCAATCTCATCCATGTCACCTTCTCCCATTGCTTCATCCTTTTCAACCAAGTATTAAGACCAAACAGGTAATAGACGCATTGCTCCACCATGTACATGTCACACTTTGCCCCTTTCAAAACTGAAATGCACACGCATGCAGAAGTTGCAGTAAGTTGCAGTAACAGCAGAGGGAGATGTAACTTCAAGCCAAATGGTAAATGGTAAATGGCCTGTATTTATATAGCGCTTTACTAGTCCCTAAGGACCCCAAAGCGCTTTACACATCCAGTCATCCACCCATTCACACACACATTCACACACTGGTGATGGCAGCTACATTTACATTAAAAAGGCTTTTGATAGCC